AGAAAAGCCATGCTTTTCACATAGTTCAAAGAGCAGAAATGAAGCTTTGAGGTTGCAGGAATTAGGCGTTGCTTGCTGTTTGTCATTAGTACAGATTTTAGAATACAAGTGGGATTACTGTGTACAAGATAGAAGATAATCTTATTGCTGCTTTTCTATTTAAAGGCCAGCAATGCAAACAAGATATTAGAAAACACCATATCTTGCCATCTCAGAAAAAATGTAGGGGAAACATTTACACTGGAGGTCACATAATGTCACATTGCACACTTACAGCACTTCTTTTTTTCTGTTTCAAAATGTCTGCCATCCTGATTTACACATGGCAAAACAGAAGTGGTGTATAGACCCAGACTTATTTTCTGAAGCAGGTGTATTCAGCTAACACAGATGAACTATTTTAATACTACAGTTCTCCACAAAATGCTCTGCAAAAAACCACTTTGTCCTTTTTTGTGAAACAGGGGTGAGCCTTCTGAAGTGAACAGGTAAGCTTTATTTCAGGAAAAGGGAACCTGATTTAAAAAAATAGGTAGAAATGGATTTTCTAAGCAGATGACTGGCCAGGGAAATATCTGGCCAATTTAATAACAGTTACATTCTAGCAGATGAAAATAAACCCATGATTTTTGAAGTGTATGTAGCAATGTGTTTAATTGTTCATAATAATCAGGAGAACTTTCTGGACTTACTGCCATCTTTTGTGAAAAGAGGTATGCTATAATAAGAACTAACACCAAAAATGAAGTCACAGCTCAACTGAAATACGTGCTTTATTGGATGTGTGATGCTAGCACTGTACCCTCAACGTGAGATGAGAAAAACAAGATCAAAAGCTCGCTAGGGAAATCTTTATGTGTAATAGGCTTATAAATGTATAAAATCTACTTAGCAAAACTGTTTGCTCTGATGCTTCTTTATAAAATGTTTGTGGTATGCTAGAATAAACATCATATTGATAAGATCATTATACCTGACCAACGCTACTTAGTGATGAATAGGTTATTATTACAGTGATTGTTCTTCCTTTTAACTCTCACAAATCAGCATTTGATAGATTCCTGACTAGCTCAGTTCAGACTTAGCTTCTCTCAACAGCTATCTCTTGCAGTGGCTGGAGTTGGTCAGGAAATATGGGCAAGTATTGATATCTTCAAATCTTCTGTTGTTTCAAAAGTGGAAGCCTCCCACTTAGGGTGGCTTTCTGAGAGTGATGCAGTAGAGAGTTTCATATTTACTATAATCTCTGTAATTAATTGAACTCTATATATACCTTTTTGAAGGCATAGGGCTGAGGTGAGTTCTGTTGCATCCTTCTCTTACCTTTGGAGGTTGGAGCTGAGGGTGTGATACATCTTGAGATCTGTGGACTGAGATAAAGAGCGAAGTAGATGTTTCTTTTGCTGATTGGATGCTTGGTGACACAAAAGCATGTGGACAGGAACATAGAGCCATTTATTATACTTAGTTACGTTTTGCAGCTGTCTGGTTTTATATGGACGTCTCCCAGAAGAAAATACCATTCTGGGAGATGCTTGTCCTGAGATGTCAAAGGAAAACAAACCATCATCATTGAGACATTTCTCATCCTGCCATATATATATTGAGAATGAAGTCCTCAAGATAAAATTGACAGGACTTTTGCAGGCAGGTGCTGTGAGCAAAAGGCAAAACGTTTTAACAGATAAACATTTGTCTTTATTATACTGGTAACCTAGTAATTTGGAAGAAATTTGGATGCCCAGCTTATCCAAGCCAGATGGAAATTTGTCCACAGCCAAGGCTGCGGTGCTGTGTCTTCACAGCTCTTCCATTCCCCCATGTGTGCCTCGGGACAGTGAGCTCTGTGGAGGTTCTCTTCCAGTTACTTGCTTGTGTTGGCTGCAGGAGAAGGTTATCTGTCTTTAAAGCAAATGGGGCAAAGTAATTGGAAGAATAGCAGCCATAGCCCGTGCTAGCTGTTCACTGAGGATGGCAGTATATCAAAGGAGATTTTCACATCTTGGAGAACAGGTTATTCTACAGCCCTTAGTAGCTCCAGCAAGCTGTAACACCACGTGGGAAGGTTTTGAATAATAGCATACCACTAGGTTTTTTTAAAGAATTGCTGCTTTCTGAGGACCCCTTTAGGAATTACTGTGTCAAAGCAGTGGGCAGTCGTCAGCCGAGTTACTTGCTCTGCTGTGTTTCAAACTTAATGAAGGAAACTGCCCAGCTTGTATTTTATAGTGCGGGAGAAATGCAAGGCCTTAGCAGCTTCAGCAGTATCTTGCTTCTGTGCTTCATGGGAAATGCTGCTGGATTCAGAACCAGACATAATTTCCTAGCTTTGAGCACTGAGTTGAAAAAATGCCATCTTTATTTCTGACTGGTTAAGCTAATTGGCATCCTTACTTCAAAAACAGGGAAATGTCCTTTGTGCAGTCAAATGGTAGCAAATGCTAAGATTCTGCGATTCAAATGGCCGGTGAGGTGGGCTGATTTGGCGTTCACTGCTCTGAACTATGTGGACTTTTGCCTCAAAGTCTTCAATGACATGTTTTTGAATGTTATTTCAGCTTGATGCCTCTGAAGTAGATATGGGCTTTTTCTCCAGTTTCTTCTCTTAGGCTACAGTTAAATGAGGGGCTCACAGAGACTGTGAGACTTTGGTCCTAGTGTCTGTCCCAGCTGACTTGCATCCAAATCACCAGGAGCTGGCAGTCCCTCTGTCCTGTTTCATTTTTAATCTAGCCATTTATTTCCAACTTCAGTGGTCAAAGTTAGCTGATGCTGGCTTGGGTATGGTGTTCGTGTAGCAGTAAGATCATGCACTTCATGGGCAGGTTGCTTTGGTATTTAGCCGAAAGCCATGGTAGGTTTTGCAGCCTGTGATGTTGGAGCTGCACCTAGACTAGCTATTTCAAACTAGTTGAAACAGAAATGTGCTTGTCTGCAGATCCATCCTGTAAGATGTTTGTCTTAGAGCTGAGGAGCATGCTATGTTGCAGATGCTCCTTGCCTATCACTTCTTCTCATTACATCAGCACCCCATTGCATATACTGTAGCTCAGAACAAAAATGGGGTGATTTTTTTGCTTACTTGTTAACCACAAAGACACTGAGGAGATAATGGGGAAAAGGGTGGTGTGCTAGAAGCCATTCAAAAGCACATCATAGTGTCTGCCAGCAAAACCAGCTCACTTTGCTGAGCTTACTCAGGAGTTTCCCTTTAGAATGATTCAGTAGACAGCTGCAATAACTGAACAAAGCAGTTACTTCCTCATATCAGGCCCTCTCAGGCAGCAGAAACCCCAGCTGGGACCAACTGAAAAGAGCACAGCTGGCTGGTTGGTGTCAGAGAGCAGGGTCACCTCTAGCTGTCCCTGTGCAGTAAATCAGAACTGATGTGCCTGTGTCCTGAGGATGAGTACAGCCTTGCACTGATGGAGCTTTGGGGCAACTATAAAGCTTGAAGAACTGTTTTGTTTCCCAGTATCTACTTGGTCCATGCCAACCTATAACCTTAAACTGAATTGTTCTGTACCACTGCTAAACAAGCCTTCCTCCCTCAAAGGAAGTCAGACATTTAAGAAGCAAAAAAGCAACAAAAAGAATCCTCAACATACTAAAAATAGGGTGTCTGAATAAAAGAATTAGTTTTGGCACATCTGTCCCAGTAAATACGAAGATTCTTCCTGTTTTCTACTCAGCCTAAATGTTACGCTTACAAAAATTTAAAGATCCCACCCTTCACTTTGACATCAGATAAAGTGAGTCTTTTCTTAATAGAAACCTCCATATGCAGGCAAAAGGAAAGGAAAGGGCAGCCAAGTGTGAAAGAAGACCCTTGCTCAAACCTGCATCTGTTCGGGTCAGATTTGTCCCTCTGTTCCAGGCAGAGGAGGCAGGAGTGGGTACCAGCACAGCTCTTCCCCGCCATCCTGCGGAGAGTGCTGGCCATTCCTGGGAGAGAAACGGCAAGGGAACAAATACCTCCTTCACGGACGAAGTAATTCCACACACCACATACAGCAAGTGCACGGGTTGGAGCGGTCTGGTTCTTCACAGTCGCCTTTGCAAGTGCGAATTTGTATGTGTAGCTTCCCTGTCAGTCTCTTTCACCATCTACTACGTTACACGGGAAATGCTGTGGAAATGGATGAGACCTTTTGTGATTTACTTCATATTACAGAGCTGAAAGCCCTCAAACCCCGGAGATTCCACTGTGAAGGGATCTGTTCGTCGTGCTAGTGACAGCATCTATTGCATCGAGCATGAATTGTGAACATAGTGTTTATTTTGTGCATCGAGTGTCTGTGTCTGTGTGTGTGTGCGCGCACATTAGTGCAGGAGCTGGTTTTTGTCACACCATGTTGGAAAATCTTTCAAAGCAGACAAATAGCAAGGTAATCTATATGCAAATTTACTGGTTTAGTCAGTCTGATGTGCCTGTGACAAAGAGTGGATTTAATTATAGTTTATTGGTGCTAGTTGTGCTTGAGTAATCTGGAGGTAATGGTGCATAATGCTGAATTAATCTAGGATGAAAAAAAATGGTTTCCTGGGGATAAACTGAGACAAAGGCAAATCATCGTCTATTTCCACAGCTGGGTACATTTTTCTCTGCAGTCTAAACAGCAGAGTTTTCCGGGTGTCATCTGGAAACTATGAATTAAAAAAAAAAATAAAAATTCTAATGATCCAAAGTAAATTTTGGAAATAAATTTTCAAGAAGGATATCTTCTGTTTGCAACAGGGACGTCATTCCAGCAGGTAATTCAGAATCTAGTCACTGCACTCCTGATTCCCACCTCCCTCACACCCAGTACACTCTGTCCTGGACTGAGTCATGTACGTAATGCATTCAACACAATGACAGTTAAGCAGGTAGAAGGTGTTTGAGATAGAAAATGGTAGAAAAAAGATGCAGAACAAATGGCTTGTGCAGGAAGTGAGGACAGAAACCAGGAGGTTTTCTATTTGAAAGGTTTGAAAATTGTATTAGCATGAATGCTTCAGTCAAATATTGCAGAGTAAAATACATTTCCAGATAAACTAAAAAAGCAAAAGCAGGAATACTCTTTATTACAGAACACTTTCAGACATACAAGATTACAGTCATAATGCATGCACACAGTTTTGCAAGATTAATGCATAAACAATGGGGAGAATATGGACAGAGAATGTACAGTGAGAAATGGATTATAATAGCTTTGGAAAATACTTGCTGTGTAAAGCAGTGCTGTTTGGTTACATTGGCTGCTACATATGTTTGTAATAACCTAAACATTTTGCCTCAGTCATTAGAGAAATGTAAGCTAAAAGAATAATTTCCTTAGACTAGGGCAGTTGCTTTTTTATCTGTACAGTTCACACATGTCTTTAGAAGGTCAGTTAAGGCTGGTCATTTTAATGCAAGGACTGCATCAGAATTTGACCAAGTTTACTAGGAGGTGGCAAATTTGAACCACTTGAGTATGGTTTTTAAAAGGATCTGAGTATTAATTCTACTTGCAGTCATGGGAGCCAGAGGAGTCTCAGCTTTTCTGAGAAGCTAACTCAACATAGACCAAGTTCATCACTAGAACGCATATAAGGTATCCAAGAACATTGACTATTTTGGCCTAAAGCCAAAGCTTTTGATCCAAGATTAGTCACTCTTTATGCTTCTGGCTGTTGTTTCTGCCTCAGAGACTGAGCAATGATCCATATATTTTGGGGCAAGGAATCCAATGAGATGCTGAGTAATGTCAGTTCAATTTTCATCTTTGGGATAGGAAGAAGGCAAAGCAAAAGAACGTTTCAGAACGTTTCATTGGGATAATCTCTGATTTCATGCACACTTGGCCTGTAGTCGTTTGTTTTGGCACAAACCATAGAAACACATTGTTCAGTTCTCATTTCTTCAGGTTTTCAATGTGTTCTTATCTTTTTCTTCCTTAGGCAGAGAGTTTATATCTGAAAATGTAATCTGTGCACAAATATTTTTTTGAAACTTATCCAAAAAAAAAAGCTTTTTATATCCACAAGTGTTTCTGCTTTCTTTATCTCTAGACAGTGATGCTCAGAGAGGAGACAGTGGGTTAGAGAACACTAGATCCTGTTCCAAACCTTTTCAGGGCTTTTCCAGGTGGAGCATAGCACATCCTTTTGCTGCCTGGTGTTTGAGGTGCTCAGCCCTTAATATGTAACTGGAAAGAACCAACAATTCCAAAACTCAGGCCCCATGATGCAACTAAGTCATCAGTACTGAGAGTTGTGACACTGACGGAGAAAAAAGTTTGCCGTAGTCAAATTATGTTGCATTTTAATACAGTGTATTATTTCAAAGCGCTGTTCCATTTTTTTTTCTGTGAGAAAAATTCTGGCTTCTGTTTCTGCTTGCATATTGCCACTTTTCATTCAAACTCTGACTTCTCTGTGGTTGCTTTTTAACCAGTTATCTTTCAGAATTCATGTTGGTGCTGCATGTTTTGGAGGCAAAGGTGCTAAGCCTTTCCAGAGGAGATGTTTTCACTTTGCTGTCAGATGATTTTAATGACCTTTTCAGGACATGGTATATGCACCATGTAACAAAATGATTTATCTGTCTCTATGTGTGAGATGTATAAGGTGTGGCATACTGAGGTCAGTGTTATTTTGCCTCAAACTACAGTATTTCTCACATCACTGTGAGGCTTGATACTGTTATGATCTCTGTTAGTCCCACAGAGAGGTTATTAAAGGGGCTCTGAATTTAGATAAGCAAAACCAGACTTGCCTAGTGACTGCAGCTCGTAGGTCTGTGTACTGTACTGAGCAACTATCCTGAAACACAGGAAGAACTCGGTTCACATGGATCTTCACACCAAGTCATTTCCAGGGGCTTTCAGCTGTCCTGATTCTTCTCTGCATTGATTATCCTGAGTCAGAATTTTTGTGTGCTATCTAATAGACTTTGCATGTGACCTGATGTTTTTAGTGGAAGGTTGAGCTTGTAAAGGTCAGTGTTGGCAGCCATTTGTACTGCCAAAGTATTTCACTATGGTACAGTTCTTCCCGAGTGAGGCTGGGGTGTGACAGTTCTTGGCAGAAACACTGTACTTCCCAGTTCAAAGTAGCATGCCTCGGGCATCAGAAAACACAGGAAGCCAAATGCCTCCTTCTGAGCCACTTGCTAATAATCTTTTACAGGTATAAACCTTCAGTGTTAAGCTTGCTGCTGCTGGTGTTTGGTCCCGTGGTCTGGCCTTGCACACAGGTGCAGTAGGCAGCCTCTGCACTGGCCCCATGCAACATTGCTTCTTAGAGCTCATCCAAAGTCTAGGAAAGGTAATGGAGGTATTTCCAGTCAACCTCAGTGGGCTATGGGGCCAGTACAAAGGTGTGGTTTCTGTGTCAGTGTTAAAGTTAGCACATAAAAAGAGAGCCAGTGCTGCTGCTGCTGCTTCTTGCGAAGTGAAAGGCAGTGCGCTTCTTAGTTGTTACAAAGTGAAGATCTGCACAGCTTTGAGGTGTAGAACTTCACTTGTGAGAACGGGGTGTTCAGCAGCTAGCTAGTTTGGTCCCTAACTGACAGAATATACTTGCGACTCTGCATTTAATCATGGTTACTGATTGGAGTAATTTAATCAAGGAACTGATTGGGGTAATTTGGAATAGGCCCCACTGGTGAATGCCAGTAGTTAAGATTGATTGCCCAGTGGAGACAATAGTTAGTAAAAGATAGGCTGGAAGGCAGGCAGTAAATAACTCCCATGTTGTTCGGCATGGGGTACTCTAGCCTTGTTCACTGGCAGTGCCCTTCTCAGGGTGGTGAGAACCCCACAGTCTCGAAATATTAATAGGCAGTGAGGTGAGGAAGCTTGCTGATGATGGTACATTATTCAGATCAGTGAGGAAAGGGCAGCCTGAAGAACTCCGGAAGGCCATTGTATGGCTGCGGTTCAGTGCTCGGTGGTGTTCAGAGATGTAAATCAAGCATTAGGAATGATCAGGAAAGGCATAGATGATAAAACAGCAAACACTGCCATACCATGGCACAAGTCAGTGGTTTTCTTTCACCTGTGCTATTCTGGTCCTCTCCTTTCAAAGACGATATTATAAGCTTGGAAAAGGATCAAAGAGGAGCAACAATGATACGCGAAGGCAAGGAATGACTTTGACTTGAAGAATGACTGCAGAGGCTTGAAGCTTGTAGGCTGGAAAAGAGACAACTTGCCAGGAATATGATGCAGATCTAAGCTCAGGAGTGGCAACGGAGAGGTGTGGATAGGGGTCAGCCATACAGTGTCTCTTCCAAAACAGCAGTATCATACACAGCTAGCAGCAGTCAGGTTCAGAGGTGGCTCTTCTACAAGATGTTGTGGATGCCAGAACTCTCTTTGGGCTCAATAAAAAGCTGCAGTACCTGGAGGAGAAGTCCACTGAAGAACCTAAACACAGAAAACCCCCATGTGGCTCAGGAAACCCCCTGACCTGAAAATAGATGCAGACAGGGAAAGTAGAGCAAAGGAAGTATCATATAGGCTTGTCATTTCTCCTCCTTCAGTACCCATTTGTGGTGACTGTCGAAGTCCAGATACTGGGTACAAGGACTTTTGGTCTGCCACGGTATGGGTGTTCTTGTGAAACTGGTATTTCTGTAGGGTGCCCCAGAGAAGAGGCCCATGGCAGCCCCTCCGAGATCCCCATCAGCAGATCCCCATGGCAGAGCTGTGTCTCTGTGCAGCACTGTCACCTAGCAAGCTCTGTGCCATATCTACCTCTGCCTTGTTTATACAGTGTGCACTTTCTTCCAGATGTTTGTATGAATTATAACACCTTAATAATAATCTATTATTTGTATGTTAAATTATAGAAGGGGGTGTTTTCTGCCTTTTTTTTTTCTTTCCTTGTAATAAAAAGCTGGTGTAGTTTGAGGGGAGATATGTAGACCAGTTGGACTTCATGAAAAAGAATCCTTGCTTTTGCCATTTCTTAAAGCTTTGGGTGCCATCTGCTGGGTTCAGTAAGACCTTACACACTGGAGCAGAATTTGTTAGTGGCTGGTTGAAAAGTACTTGACGAGCTGAATTTACCCAAGGTTGCCATGTCTTTGCTTGTAACTGCTGGTTGTTTTGGCTCTGATGGTGATAATGTAACCCAGGTATATGGGATCTACTCTGCCAAACAGAGAAGTGTCTGCTTAAGTTCCCTTTTAAAGATACCATTCCAACTGAATTCCTTAATGGTTTTCACTGTGTTTGGTTGCATAATACTGGAACAGTGGAAGGAAATAAGGATTGTCAGGCATTGTACCCCAGCTACACGTTGCAGGAGTGGAGCCCACTCTGAGCAGCATTCTGGCTGCTGAAGGCAGAGACATATCTGTTTGATACGTGGCATAGGTGTGTAGCAGCAAGATACAGCCCTGTACACTGAACGGTGAAGGGGTAGTGTGTGAGTGTACCAGATCAGTGAGGCACAGCTCCATTCTCTGCAGTTAAGGCACCTGGTGACAATGAAGCGGCATCTCTGGGCTTGCAATGTGTGATGTCCCTAGCTCTTACCTTGAGAGCATCCAAGAGCAAAGAGGTTCAGGTAGCTATGGGCTGAAGCAGACTTTGCATGTTCATCATCCAGGGGAGATAGCCAGCTGTGTGTTTGCAGAAAAATGGCAGACAGTATGATCTGTGTGAGCAGCTGAGTTCAAACACATGGAGCTGTAACAGTTACACACAGCACTGTCGTGTGACATAGCTGTCACTGTGAGACCCCTGAAGAGTAATATGCCTTTGGTTTTTATTCTTCACAGTTATTTCACTCTTGCTCCATAATCTGACGATACAGGAATTTGGTAGCTATGCTGACTTGTGCAGTCCCATCCTCTCATCTGTGCCTTCCTACTTCTTGTCTCCCCAAACCGCAGTACTCCTTATCCCCATGCTGTATGTGAGGCCATACTGTGTACTGCTGAGTTTAAAAAAAAAAAGGCAAACAAACCAAAACTACAGCACGATGAAAGGAGTTATGTTTAACTTGATCAATTCCTTTTATTTTGTATCACAGTGTGGCCTCACAGACAGTTGGGTCAGCACAAGAAAGGGAAGCCTGGTGCCTGCAGCACTGAGCGGGGAGAAGGGACACACGGCTGAGGAGTGAGACCTCTGTTCAGCACTGCTTTTGAGCCCCTGGGCCACCCAGCCTGGGCTTGGCCTCTATGCTGGGAATGCCCCAGCCACTGGTAGGCAGGTGCCTGCGAGGAGACATCTGGTTTGTACATCAGCCCTGGGCTGGTGGGCTGCTCACAGTACTGTGTGCTGCAATGGGTCCTGCTGAGTTCCCTGTGTCCGGTACTGCTCTGCATAACAGTATGCATAAAAGCAGGGGCCTTGCTGCTAGGCAGAGGTACATTTTGAATTTTTTACTGCATGGGCTTAAAAGAGAATGGTTTAACAATAGTGAATCCTCAGAGCATATTTGGATGTTCTTTTGTGCATTCACAATACTTCACTAACTGTGCATCTGTTATTTATAAGAAGATGGATAAAAATGAACACATGAATGAGGGATAACGAAGCCTTTTCCTTTGGTTTCATTCTTTCTTTGTGTATCAAGAGATGGCAGTATATTATTCCATCCAGGCTATAAAGACTTACAGCCTTCTCTGCTGTAGTAGGGGAACCAGATTCCTTCAGCCTCTTAGAGAGGATACTCGGTCTCAGGCAAGTAGGCAGCCTGGCATCTTGGTCATCTTTTGAGTTGCAGCGGTTTGTCACCACATACCAGTACTGCATTGATCAGTAAAGGGAAGAGAATCTAAATTTTGTCCAAAAGAATAAAAAACGTTTAAAAATATAAAGGTTCCTGGTACAAGCAAGTGAAAAAGAGTACTTCTGATGGTGGTGTGGTTTGAGTGATCCTCCATCTAGAACATACAGCAGTTTTACATAACTTGGCAAACAACAGCAAGAGTAAAACAGAATAAAAATGCATAGGAAGAAAGCTAGAACTTGGCCCAGAGAAAGGCAGTCAGAAGGAAAAACTGTTTCAGCTGCAAGTTCATGCTTAAACAAATTTAACATCCTCTTTGAAAACTAATTATGTCCAGTGTTCAGTCTGGATGCCTTACATATGACAAACCACAATGAGAAACAGACTTCTTCCAGTGTTTATACATTGAGCGTTAGACCTTGAACCATAGCATTTGTAGACAACATTGAACTCTAGATCACTGCTAGATTTCTGTAGCCCTTGAATTCATATCACAATGCATTAAAATTATTTTGGGCAAGTGCTGCCAGTGGCAACTCATGCATAGTTCATAACCAACATGTTTTTTTTATTTTATTATGCTCTGGTTTTGCTGCCTTTCTTTTCCCCCCCTCAAGTCATCTTCATGTTAACATGATGCCTATAGGCAGTGTTCTCACAGAAGTCACTGTGTGGTGCCTTCATGCTTCTGTATAGTGATTTGATTTCTATGTTTGTCTTATTTTATGAATTAATATCTTTTAGCACCCCCAGATTCAAAAGGAATCACAATATATCAAGTACTTATGCTGTGATGATCAAGCAACCCTGCATCAGTGGGTAACAGGAATAAGAATTGCCAAGGTGAGATTAAAATTACATTTACTTAAATATGTTTTCTGTAAAATCATCTTGTCTTCCTCACGTTACTGACTGTCAGAACCTCAACTGGAAATGTTGTGACAAGAATGAACATCTATGCTAATTTTGTCCTAGGAAGAAAGAGTAGAAGGGCATGACCAGGATGGATTTGCTGAATGTTCCTGTACCTTAGTTATCAGTGTGTGTTTCTCATTAACACGGGTGAATTCTGTAGCTGTAAAACTCATGTACTTGTAAAACTTACTCCACAGTTATCTGGCACAATAATAACGGGCTGTGGCTAAAGGTGTACAAGCTCTGGTCAGTCCAGCTGAGACGTTTTTCAGACAGCTCTGTCCATGTTGTCTACCTCACCCTGTTCAAAAGGTCTTAACTCACAGCCCACTTTGTTTCGCACAAAACATTAAGGGAGATGGATTTATATGTAGCCCATTATACTGGCTGTGTCTGGCTGCACAGACCTACTCCTGTTAGACATATATTCTTTTCTGCCAGTTCTGCTGCAGGGTGGCATGCAACAAAGGTCTGGGGTGGTCATCAAGTTATTTTGTATCTTACACTGGCAGAGCTGTTTTCTCTGGAGCCCAGGATTCAGTGTCCCATGACTCCAGTCTGAAAATGTAATACTTGGAAAGCATTGGAGAAAGATATTTATTGGGAACATTTGGTTTTCAAGCCAAGTTTCAAGATTTTTACAGATACTGAAATGAACATAAAACATCAGAATGATATCAGTAGGACTCTCTCTGGTCACAGGGGTTTGTGTTTTATTGTGCTGTTAGGGAGATGCTTTCCACCTGGCCCTGTTCAGAAATAGGCACACCACTTGCAGAAAGCTATTTTTGAACAAAACTGGGTGGAAAGGAATGGGGTCGGAAAAGTTTTCCAATAGCAAAATGAGTGCTTGGCCTCTGTCAAGCTTAATACCATGCTTATTGTATTGCTTTGGTTTGCAGTATGGCAAGCTGCTATATGATAATTACAAATGTGCAGTGAAGAAGGCTGGCTTGTCCTCACGGTGGGCAAATCAAGGAACAGTGGAACAAGCTGCCCCTGCAGGATCCTTACCAGCAGGTACCAATGATGTCCCAGCAGTTGAAATCACATTTATTGCCCTCTTCTGTCATCATCAATGTTGAACATAGTCTTTGTTCAGAAAACCGTCCCTTCATTCAGCAAGATAGTGTTTTGCTCTGGACAGCCCAGTGTAGCTCTGATCTGCCTATAACTAAGCTAGCAGCAGAGCTCTCACTTTAAAGTTAGCACTTAGAGAATCCAAAGACAGTCCACCGAAGATCAGTTTAAATCTGCATAATTCAATAAAGTGTTTTTTTTCTGTTGGCATCTTAATACAAATGCTTTATCCTCCCTCTACATGTTACCGACTGATGGTCCATGTCTTGAAGTTTTCTGTTTGCCCATCTCTTACCCTGGCTATATCAGAGCTTTTCTTCCAATGAGTGAAAGGGATGACTGGGATCTCATTCTGAGAATGATCATTTTAGAGATTATTATAGGGTGAGCCATTCTCTTTCCCAGCCTTTCACTCATGTGTGATAATAATGTGGGTGTTGGAAAAGAATGCAGAGTAAGAAATGATTGGGTTATTTTCTAACTTTACTTTTCCAGTAGCTTAATCATACCACTGTTACCTATTTTATCATGGTACAGATAGAACAGTGCATGATGCGAGCTGTAACTTGCATGAATGTTTTTAGTTTACATGCATAAGTTTATGCTGTATTTATTAGGAGGGACATGCTGGCTAAGAACTTACTGACATAAGACAGGCAAAGTCAAAATCTGTGTTGGCAGTTAACATTCTGACTTCTCACATGGACAACTCAAAATCCTCCAAACACCTTATGAGGGCTTCAGTTTGTCTTTTTTCTCAATACATGTGAAAAGAGGGTGATCTTTCTGCTACTCCTTGGAGTCAAATCATGGTGATAAATGCACATTTGGGATGGGGAGAGAGATTTTGAACAGTAACAGGCTGTTTAAAATCAAGGGATTTTCTGATGGTTGTGAGTGGGGGTATTTTAATGAGTGGATGAGACAGTCTTGGAGCATTTTGTGTTCTGGTATTGATTGCAGAAGAGAAGTGGCTGGCCAGTGGGGCTCTGTGCTGATGCTGCAGTCTGTAGTGGATATGGGCAGGATTGAGGCCTTGTAAAGTATATATATATCTCTGTAACTTCAGCTCCTGACTAGAATGCAAGAACACTGTATGTGATCATGAAGTATATTGCCAATCTTAGCTAATGGATCCCAGTAAATGATTAAGTAGCCTAGAAAGCTTTTAGTCATGTATGTTGTCTCTATGGAAATATCTCTGATGGATCATTAGTGTTCTAATTGAGGCAAGTCACTGTGATTCTTTCTGTCTAAAAGTTATCATTACTGCCCTATATAAAACCTGGAGCCTGACTATAATACTATAACCTGAACTGCCTGACTGTGAGTAGTTGTTGGCTCATGGTTTGGAGATAGAATAAAGCATGTTTTCTGCTGTTCTGCTTTCAAATGGCTGTATAGCTATTTGTAGGGGCTGATTTCAGTATAGACTAAAATATGCTATAGAAAACTAGTCCTTGTGACCTTAGCTGGGAACTGTACTCTGTTAACTTCAGTGGCAGCCACAAGCACTGTTTAGGAAGGCAGGTGGAACTTCTCACATCCTGTGAAGCCTGTAGTCCCTGCTCACATTACAGTATAGTCTGTGGGTCTGAAGTGTCCCAAGTGCCAGGTGTATCTCAGGCAATGTTGTTTGTCTCTATGCCTCATTGTGTGTGTCTTTGGATACTAAAAAAAAACAGTGTATGTTACGTGCCAGCACAATATTACAGTGTTTGAAGGATTAAGTAAGCTGCTTTATTCAGATGTACTTCCTGTAGGACTATCCAGCTACAACCATGGAGGCATGTGGGCTTTATCATGTGGTGACTTACTAGTTTTAATGTAAGGTATCATGTTTACTTTCCTTAGATAATGAACTGAATATGGAAAGTTTCAAAATAAGCCTGAAGTAGAAAACAGACATCCTCATGGATTTTACTGAATTAAGTATAAGAAACTTGTAATGAGTGGTTGCTTGGTGGAATTTGTAAAGATGTTTTTCTTAGTTGCTATTCCCTGATCTGGTTAATACCATGAAAATGTAACACTCCATTTCCTTTGTCTCCCCTCCTTGTCACAGGTGCTGTTCAGCCAAATGGACAGGTTCCCCAAATTGTTTGTCATTCCAGTGCAGAATTTCCAGAGGCTCAGAAGAAAGCAGATACACCAGAGGTACAGGTGAGCAGTTACAAGCAGTGCAGTAGTTAAATGTCACCTGTGAAACAGTTCTTCAGGTTTGTTTTTCTTCACACACTGTCTTTCCCACTCACAGTGTACTGTTATTGCAAGCATTTGGCTCCTGGGCAAAGTGGCTGGTTCACTGCTGCCCCTTTTTGGGTTTTACACACTGCAAATAGTGTGCCTGTAGCCCAGAAGCAAGGAGCCACTGATGGGAGGTAAAGGCACAGTCACGCATCACTTTTATTCTTCAGAACAAGCTTTGAGTTCATGTAGCAGGATAGGGATGTGCCTACTGGGAGTCTCAAAGAGTCTGTGCTGCCAGAACCTCAGTGTAATTTCCTGTGTCTACCAGAAAACAGGTCTTGCCTTAGTAGCACAAAGGGTGTAGTACTGTTTTCAGCAGGGAACACTGTGCACAGCTGAAGATGAACATGTAAGAAAGGAGAAAATGTGAAGATATAAAACATTACATGTTTTCATTAGGCTCTAAATGAATTTCTTGGTTAAGCTCCAGATTTTGACTACTTGCACCATCTCTGGCTGTAAAAATATCAGCAGGGTACAGTGTGAGGACTTCAGAAACATCCTACAGAAAAAATAAACCCTGCATATGTTTGCAGTTCATTATTCATTCCCTCCATCATGCATAAAGTGCACAGGACAAGTGAAATGAAATTTGTGGAATTTTTCTGCCACCTGCATTGTGTGTTCTGTGCTTCTTGTTTCTGTCTTTGTAGAGTTCCTCTTTTAAAAAGATTTGTTTCTCTGTTCTGAACCTTACTTCCTCTGGAACAGGTCACATTCTCAGAACTCAGCCAGTGGTTCCCTCCTCCTGCATCTCATTTACTTCCATCTTTGTAGGCAAGGAGAGTGAGGAAGAGAAG